AAGGCGATCTGCACTCGTTGATGTGGTTAAAGCATTAAAGGGAGATTGAACTGTCTCAGGAACCTTACTTAACTTACTGTGCCATCAATGATGGGCTTACTCATAATATCACTAGATAGGTAGTGTTAATTGTGAAAAATATAAAACGTTAAAATAGCGGTATCGTTATAGCCAATGAGCTGCTGTCATAGTGACATAGACGTATTGTCAATGTCACACGAGAATCAAACGTCAGAATAGAGGGACGCGGAGACGACTCCGCGCGCTTTTGTGCTAAGTGATGAATTGTATCTAAAATAAGGCAATATAATGTGAAAGATGAGTATCCAGTGTTTTATTTATGATAATAGATCGACCGGCCTCTAATAGTAGACAGCTCCATATTAATGTTAGTCAGCTATACCTATTCTAATAATATAAAACTAAGCCCCCTTAGTACAAAAAGTTAGACTCTGGTTAAACTCTGGTTTAAATTGACATCTAGTATGAAAATGTCATTTTAAACCAGTGTTCGTCACGGGTTCAACTTTTTTGTACTGTGCTGAACCACAGAATAAGTAATAAGTACTTTGAACGCGCTAATTTCAGTCATTTATCGAGGAATGCAACCAATAGGTGTAGAGCATTAATGAGAAATATTGAGAAAATAGGTAGAAAAATTACCCTTTCCCTACGGGCTATTGGAAACCAAAGTGCGCCTCTCAATACGGGGTATTTTACACTACAATATTCACGCGGGCACAGCTATTTGTTACACTGGCCCATTTATTGTCCTGAAGCAGTGGTAGGGTTAATACTGGGACGTGTAAAAGTGCTTTTTTAAATCCTACTTGCCTAAATAAATGAGTTTAATTAGTTTTTTTGGAGTTAACGGTTTCTATTGGAGCAGACTATACACTTGGCAAACGGGCATTATGTCATACATAATGTCCGTTTGCCAAATCCTTATCGTTGCGGATGCTGCGCCGGATCGGGGCTGCCTGAGGCACAGTCTTTTAATAGTGAAGTGAAATGTGCATAGTTAATTATGCTAATCGATAATAATTTTAAAGGAAAAAAGATGCAATGAGGAAGCTATTGGCCCATATGAAACGGAAAGTGATGATCAGATTACAAAGATTACAATTTAAATGAATAAAAATAATATTATAACGTTGGTAGTCATTCATAACTGGGCCTTTATTAGTAGGGTTTTATTACCGGTCAAGCTATATCTATCCTGACTATACAGAAGTCACAGCGGTGGGAACGAGAGGTGGGAATAGTCCTGCACATTAGGACTACCTACTACCTAACGGGACTATTCTTATCTCTGTTACTCTCGTATTTTATAAGAGTAATTGAGCTTTAACCTGAATGTACTCCTACACTATACATTAGAGTTTAATCGTAAAATCATCTAAATAATAACAAATTTCCTATCGCCAGTATTCACAAACGTTGCTTGCTAAGTGAAGCAGCGAATCGAACGCACAGCGTTGAATAGAGCTCTTTGATTGGATCGTATGTCACCCTGTCTGTCTACGCTCACCGGGGACCTCATATGTAGTAATGTTTGTGAAAACGGGCGTATATAATCCGGCCTTTTTAAGGGGCGAGAGTGAATAGACTGCATCTCACTTAACATCAGGTGCAATTGCGGTTAAATCCTGCTCAGTTCTGCATAAAAAGACTTATTAAAAATATTTAACATCGTTATTTAATAACATTAGTCTAATATGAACAATGCACATAATGAAACGTTCGCTATTGTGGTTACTTTCGTTTGACCAACTTTACTACCCACATTGGGCAAGCGTGTTGTACCATAATCTTACCAATCATTGTGATGGCCGTCTTATTAAATAGTTAAGAAATGCCTAGAAAATAATGATATAGGAAAGACCCAGTGGCGACTTATGGAAACACCGGTGCAGTTTATTTTTGGAAGGACTAGCTTACTAACTTATGTAGATTCATAGGACAAATTAGATGAACAAATGATTATCAGTATCAAAACTTAAGAAACGATCGTTAAGTAATATTCCCTAAATCTCTCAAAATATATATTTTACTGTACATTTCATCTACAACTCCTTCTCTTCCCAACTAAGGGACAAATATGAGAATATAAGGCCTTCTCAGCCTACTAGCCAGCGTGGGGAGAGGTTGTACGCCAGATCCATCATTTGCCTCTGATTTTAAGAGGGTCGTACTTGTACAGTGGAGAGTAAAGGAATGATGAAGGTGATGGAGTATTTGATGTCAAAGCTTACAGTTACACTGGTATCGATGTGTTATATTATGACATACATTCTAAAGAGGCATGGGCCTCATTGATCATACATTAATTAATGATAACGTATGGCAAAAATTAATTATGTTGGATCCTAGGATTTGTAACATTGTGAAACCATTAAAATTATCCCATCAAAAAGTCACAAACACATTAAATTCAATGTTTTTTGGACATAAACAAGAAACGACGGAAAACAATTAAAAACTGTAATGTGAATCACGTAATTATAAGTATGGTAATTACACATTTTGGTATTTTTGTAATTTTAAATGTGCAATAAGCAATTATATGCCTACACGTAAGTAGAATAAGATAGAGTTCAAGAACATCCTTTTTTATCGCTCTTGGTCACATCTTTTTTCTTTTTTAATTACTATAATCAGCAATTTAAAAGACCATCATCATTATCATCATTTCAGGCACAGGACGTTCACTGCTGAACATAGGCCTTCCCCAAAGATTGCCAGCGCCGCCGTATTGGCTTGCATCCAACACCTTCCTGCTACCTCTAGGAGGTCGTCGGTCCACCTTATGAGTGGACGTCTCACGCTGCGTTTTCCAGTAGGTTTTGCAGAACCTTGCTGTCCCATCGGCCGTCAGTTCTGCGTAATGTGTGCCCTGTCCATTGCCACTTCAGCTTGCTAATCCGTCGGGCTATGTCAGCGACTTTAGTTCTTTCTTATCTCCTCATTTCTGATTGAATCTCATAAATAAATATATAATTTAAATGGTATTATTCAAAAACCAATTCCAATATTTACACATTTTAAATGTTAAAACACCATTCGTGCCTCACGTATGAAAAGCAGAACCACTAAGTTAAAAACATAACCCTCCTTGGACACTGGCAGACGTAGCGGCAATTATACTCTAGATTGTAACTAAAAAAACAACACTGAAATGTATAAAACATTCCACCTTCTTATCATAATAATCGCTTGTCACATCAAACAATTCTAGGAAAAAACATAACATCTAGATAGTTCTACACGTAATACTTAAGCGCGATGAGCGGGACATAATCGGTGCACTATGAAAACTTACTATGTTATTATATTATTATTATGTCACAAGTGATTCAGCATTATTGCCGTTTCCGTAGTAATTGACCTGGGTTTTACCAGCTAATTGGAGCTTAATGTCAAGAATGTCTACAGTTTACGCTAGTTCCTGAAATGATAAACAAGTTAATATCCGGTTGTGAGAGTTAAGTTCCTTTTTAAGATTATCACTTTTTAACTGACTTCAAAAAAGGAGGATGTTATCAATTCAATGGTTTTTTTTTGGTGGATCTGTTTAAGCTGACACTTGACACTGATTTGGCTCTTGTGAACTAATTTAAAACCTCGCTAAATCGACTGCCTCAGATAGGAATTGAACCCACGACTCTTAGCTTATTACCCGACTAATCTGATCTGAGGAAAACGATTTTTATATTTAAGTCTGATTCAGATATATTTAACGCCAGTATTCATAAACGATGCTTACTTGAGTGAAGCAGCAAATCGAACGCACAGCGTTGAATAGAGCTCTGTGATTGGTTCGTGTGTGACTCTGTGCGTCCACGTGCTCTGTGAGACCTCATACGACCTCAATACAGGCATAAGTTTCAATATTATTCAGATATTCTTAGTAGACACGATCCAATGTTAACATTTGTTGTATTTACGAGTACAGCATTCTGAAATCTTATTTTATGATTAAAATAATGTGATCCATCTTATTCTAAGTGTAGAGTATGAAGTGATAATAAAACTTGATTACAGCTGTTTACATCCAAGTTGAATTTGTTTAAGGAATATTAATATCTCAAACGATATAAAGTCGCATTAAACAATCAACATAACCGTTTATTACAATTATACTGTCTAGAATCTTACTAGCTGCCAGTAATCTTTATTATTGCTATTACTGTCAAAAAGTTATGTAGTTATCTTCCAAGATAGAAGTAACTATTAGGGTAACATAGCAGCTGGGTAATTTGGTAGTTACTAGAAGAATTTGATGCGTAGCTGATGGACGCATCATCATCATTTCAGCCACATGACGTCGACTGCTAAACATAGGCCTCCCGCAATGATTTTCATATTGACCGGTTGGTAGCGGCCTGCATCCAGCGCCTTCCTGCTACCTTCAGGAGTCCGTCATGCCTGAAACCAGGGTAAAGTTACCAGACATCCGGGAAATCTGGAATTTTCACAGATTATTTCACAAGAATACAGATAGAGTTATGGGACACGTAATTGGAAAGCTCAAAAATGGGAGCTTTCCATTCCAATTGGAAAGGATTGGATTGCTATTAAATTTTTGGGTTCCTGAATTTACGCCTCTGAATCTAACAACCTTAAGTTCAGGTAACTACGAGTATGTGCAACTCATAATTTTGGCTAAATCGTTACAAATAAAGCTTTTTTTATTAAATCAAACTATTAGGTCAATCAAGTCCAAATGAAATCAAAAGTATCTCTATCAAGATCAATGATTCATCAAAATATCCATGAACTAATATTTCACTTCGCGTCTTCAATGCCTGTTACTACAATGCCTAATGCGATTAGGCACGCTTATTAAGGTGTCATGCCGTCCAAAAACAATGTCAAAGGCGAGTCCTAAGCCGCGAAAACCTATCGGAAAATTGCGGGGTTGTTCTGAAACGGTGAGAGGTGGTGGTGGGGGGTCGGCGGCGGTCAGGCGGCGCGCGCGCAACCCGGCATTCGTTCGCGCGCGCCGATCGTGCACGCCCGCGTCTACCCCACACACGCAGGACCTCCCTTCCCACGGTAATGTACCCACACAAACAACGCTTGCGCAATTTCCGCATCTGTTACGATTACGACAGTATCAAAACTCGCGATGTGATACACGTGGTGCTGTGATACCGATACCGATACCGGTTCCAATCGGGATCGAAAGCGATTTGGCAACGCAACCTCGCTGCCGACATTGGGCGGTTTCGACACAAAAGTTGATAGAAAACTGATTTCGATAACATTGAAACTGGTGTTGGTTCGCGATTTTTCAGTGATCGTGTTGTCGTGTCGAATCTTTCCGTGCCGCGGTTGTGTTAGTTTGTAAGTTGCACGCTGCTTTACGCTAGATTTAAGAACTAGATCTAAGGTCTATTTCACGCTCAAGAATTTTATTGTGATATTTATGATCTTTGTTTTGTGTGTCAAAAACGTTTCTTACAACATTTTTGTTTTGGACAATCTTATCAAATCAAATCAAATTAGTTTATTGTATTTGTAGGTACATATCATACATTGATGGGTCTTAAATTTAAACGTAAAATTGCCTTGTCTTGTCTTAGAGCTTCACCAGTTGCTCTAAAAGGGACATTTGCATACCCAAACTCATCGTGTATGCATACAACATATTTGCACGTTTCTGACGTATATTTATTTCCTATTCTCAATGGAACTATAAGATTTGTGACCTTGAAGTGTCAAATACATCAACGAGTTGATACGAGCATTGCAAACATAACACCAGTCGTCATCACTTAGGTTATTCCATAAAATACAATGTTTTTAAGTATTGTCTAAGGCTCAAAGGTGTCTCTATATTTTTTTGTATTTATTAGAAATAGATGATAACTTTAACAAAATTCATGTCACAACTGATTATATTTTGTTAAAGCAACAAACAAAAGACTGCAGCAATATTCAATTTTTTTCAAAAGTCTAGCCGGTCTTTGCCCTTTTACTTAAACCAAAACATATTGTCCTAACTGCAATGATTATGCAAAACAAATTGTATCTACTCGCTAACATATTAAGACAAATAACAAAATTTGCATTGAATGCAACAGACAGACACGCGATTGACTTAGGGCGGTCATAATTACTATTGATTGTGTGATGGTAATTAGTATAACCTCAATAATGTTTCCGCCCTTTTTTGTATAATATATCGCCATACCATAATTAACTCGGTTCAAATTACTACTTAACTTGAATCTTTTAAAAGGCCATAAAAATATTTGAAAAAAAACTTAGACACGATTATTTGTTTACACAACATAATATAAACATTTAACGTTTAGTAATCTTTCATCAAGATACGTTAGAGAATAGTTCATTTAACTCAGTTCGTCGATCTTCTTGACAGTTTTCCTCAAACTTCTATTCAAGTTTATGTAAATTATTATGACTACTTTGACATTTCACAATCTCATCATTTAACAAGTTCTGTAACCACATAATACATTCATGTAATTTAATACAATAGATTTTTCTTTCATCGTCTCTATTTAATTTATCTACTACTGATGTTTAGACTCTATTGTATTTTCTTGTTAACAACCGGGTATTTCTTCTTTTTCTTCCAATTCAAATACTACTTATTTGATTCCTAAGCGTAAAACGATGTATGATTCTATGAGTCTCACCTCATATATAGAACTCATTATAACATAGGCTCTCACGCTTCTATCTTATCCTCGCATCATATGAACAGTAACAACAAGTCTTAACTTAAAAGTCTTCAAACCTCATGTCTGATTATGCGACAAATCTTTATAACATGTCTGACTTGAGTCAATTGACCAAGTAAGCAATTTTGACTTTAAAGTACACTATTAAACTAAATATTTCTTAGGGTAGGTATTATTAAATTTTCGCTTTTTAGTCGTGATGTGATAGTAACTATTGCTACCCAATCCGGATAGCAGATATCAGATCGAATTAATCTACAGCTTTCTTCAAAAATGAACAACTAACAATAGCACTTATTTTAAACCCAAACTATTAGTTTCTTTTCTTACGTAAACCTTCGCTGAGTCGATCAATTTAATGATTTCTTCAACGTCGATTCGCGATCGATTCCGGTCAGTTATCCGGTTCATGGTTCCTTAGTGGTAGAGAAATGGAAGGTCAAGGTCAGCTTGAGACCTGACCCCGCCCCTACCCTGCCCTGGTTAAGAATGCCAAAAAGTTTAATTAGTGTATCTTTAATCTAGAATACTACTCATCTAAGGACATGCCTAAAGTAATTCATAACGCCAACGATGTCGTTATGAGTTTGATCACAGTCATCCGCTGAACTATTGTGTTGAGCCCACTTCTAATACAAACATAACAGCTTAATTCAAAGGTTAGACATAAATTTTAGTATGAAACACAATGTGTGAACGACAAATTACTTATTTGTGAACAAACTAATACGTCAAAGATATATTAGAAACTTTCCAATGTAGCGAGATGATTACGAATTAATCTGTAATGACTATTATCGTTAAGACGACCTAGTTTAAGCAACTCATCTTAAATTTTAGTTTGTTGATAACTATTTGGACATAAAATACTGATAGAAAACGAAAAGTATCTCACGATATAAATAATCTTAAACTCAAAACAGACTTTGCAAGGAATTTGATTTCGATGTTACAATAAAATGTATTTCAAATTAATTTGACAATTGAGATTTATTTTTATTTTTATACTTGTTATATTCCGACATAGTTTTTGTCTAATTAAATTTAAAAACAGTTATTCTTTCACGATTAAACTTATTTTGATCTTTAGATATCTTTGGGTTTTAATTAATCTTTACATTATCTTGACGTCATTTAAGAAACAAATAGAATTCAACTGTTTTTATGACTTCCTAATTTTTTTTTCTAATGTTATTTTTTTTTCGTTCTTCTGGTCTTTCAAGCCGTACCTTATTCGTTTCTTTACACTTCTGAAAGTATTTTTAAACAGTTTGGACTATCATAATTACGCTTCTGAAACAGTTTTAACCACTTCATCATCATCATCATCATTTCAGCCATAGGACGTCCACTGCTGAACATAGGCCTCCCCCAATGCTTTCCATGTTGATAGATTGGTAGCGGCCTGCGTCCAGCGCTTCCCTGCTACCTTTACGATGTCGTCGGTCCATCTAACGGTTTAACCACTTTGGACTATCATAACCATTCCTTTCGGTTCTCTAACCTACTAAAGATAATTGAAGCACCTTAATAGAGCCGCCTTATTGTGTCAGCTGTTACGTATACCCTACACTCTTCTCATTTCACTTTCGTTTGACACTTATTCGTCTGGCCGTCTGTGCGCAGCATACAAACGATTCTCTACCCTACCACTCCAACTTACAGTCCTAATTAATTCAACCGCCGCAGTTACCCAATAAACCTGTCTAACTGCAACCAATATTTTCAAGTTTTGTAAGTGGCCATGGAAAATAATCGAAAACTTAGCTCGGTACTAATTGAGACAGTTCGTCAAATGATTATAAACTTTATGGTTATTAAAATAAGGTGTCCGTGGAAGTGATTGTGTAGAACCTTCGATTTATAATCAGATCATTGAGTTGCGTACTTGCATTTGTCCAAAACAAAGTGGTTTAAATGGGTTTTCAGAGGTTATTAGCTTTAATAGAGTCAGTTGAATGAGAAAAACTGCAAGTTTCATAAAAAGTTCAGGGTCACAATCATAAAATTGTGTCAATTCACTTTTTAGTACATTTCAGTTTTTTAGCACTATTAATTTATATAAATCTATATTGAGTAGCTTGTAGAGTTTGTCTCTGAATGCATTTAAAAGACAAGTGAGAATGTAGCCATAAATGTTAATTACAGACCAATGTAGAGTAAGACAAATAAATTGGTAGAATATACTTCATTGCAAGACAAGAAAAGAAAAAAAACATAAGATACAGCACAATTTAGGCGGTCTTATTGCTTTAAAGCGATCGCTTCCTGTCTGGAAGACAGATCTAGAGGATGGTTGTTTTAAATAGGTAGAAATAGAAGGCAGTGAATGACAATTATTTCGACAGTGTTTATACCAAAATCACGTAGAGCAAAAAAGAAATTGAACTATAGGCATTGCGTATCCGAAGAGTGCTAATCATTACGCATCTTCCAATAGACCAATGCAAACATTATTCAAGAAAGCAAATATCGGAAAGATCATTCTACGTCACAAGTATTTCTATACTTAGGTATTGATGCTAAAGTGGTAAATGATGAGCAAATAGTGATCGAGGAAAAGATCTATGCGCATCGCGTTTTAAAACCGCATTGTTTCTTACAATAACTACTTCTAATCTTTGAAAGAAAGAAAGAAAAAATATTTATTTGTTATCAAAGATGGTAACGCATTTTCTTACATAACTTTTCAANTAATAAAAAAAATATGATTACTAACTGTTATGAGCTCCGATGGTAGTAATAAAAATGTATGAATAAAAAAAGTATGAAAAATAAAATTATGAAGAGAGATTATTATGAACACAAATCGGTAGTAAGACAAAGAATAGGATTTAGAATTTTATGTGAGCCAATATAGAACCATCAAAGATATATGATATCATCTTTCGTGTAATTTAAAATATGAAGGGTCAAAAGTGGCTCCAAATGGTTCGTGTAATATTACACACGGTGCTGCTTGCCAGTTCTGTTATTTGAACTTGGCTTGACACACTACTGCGTGTCTAGATACAGAAAAACTGCTTTCGATAAAAATTCAGCAAAAGTTTGGTTTGTTTTTTATTTTATGAAACAAAGAATGCAAGAAAGAAATGAAATAGTATTTAATTATCTACAAGAATCCTGTTCAATCAAAGTCATTTCCAATACAATTAATTTACAATATAATTAAAATAACTGTAACCTATTTTCTAAGTTTTATTATCTTCATCGTTACAGCTTCAACAAGGCTTGTGTAATAACTAATTAATAGTTGTGTAGAGTGTAAAGCTATAAATGTAATGTAAAATACATTTTATGTAAATCAACTATGAGTGATTTTGTAAACTCGAACCATAGAGTAAC